ACTATTACTATGTATGGCAGCTTCATATAAAAACAACTCCTTTTTCTTTATTTCACCACAAATCACATCATATGATCAAGAAAAGCACAAATACACTCCATTTCATGACAAAAGAGAACAAAACATAAAAAATCAACCTTAAACTACTACATATTCCACTGATGAAGCCTCATAAGCCGCCATTGGAATTACAGTCTCAAGCTTGCAATCAACCGATAGCATTTGAACCGAGTTGAAGCCATCGTTTTCTTGAATATTCTTAATCTTCTCAATCAGCTCGAGCAAAATTATCTCCATATCTTCACCGTTAACCCATTCGTGCACTTCGGCTCTCAAAGCCTCTCGGTTTTCGCATATCAATTCCCAAACGGGAAAATCTTTTCTCGGCATCATGAAGTCGGTTTCTCTTAGCTTCAAGCTCGGGCAAAAATCACCCGCACCATCGCCCAAATATATCATCCTTCTTTTGCTGCCTTCATTTGCTATTGAAGCTTGCATTTTCTCTATAACCATACCCTTCATGCAAGAAAAATTAAAAATAAAAAATATTAATTAATTAACAATGTTTAATTCACATTTTTGCCAATGAATATTGAATACCAACTGAATTGTGACATTTTTATGAAGAATTTAATTACCAATAAAATTGGTCTTGGATAATAAAAATAAAATTTAGGGACTGGAACCATTCCATTGGGATTTATTGGGATTTGTAACCGTTAGATCATCTATATCTGACGGTACTGATGAATTAACGGTTACAGACCCCGACAAAATGATTCCGTACGGGACCATAGCATTTTCGTACCTTGCACATGTTGGGCGGGCAGCGCGGGCAGCCATGGGGGCCTGCCCGAAAATCGACAAATGGAGAAATTCTCAGGCAGCCTCTCTCATCAACGTGGCTTGGGTTCGTGTTGATTTCAGAAAAACAGTGTTTAATGCCCAAATGCTCAATAATTGTCTCGATGAAAAACGTATTTGCATCACTCAATATTCTCAAATCACACCTGAAAAACATAAACAAAATAATAAATTAGGTATAAAAAAAAAAGGCAAAATTGCATTTTAAGCCCAGTAACTAGGAGTGTGTGGCAAATGTGGACAACTTCTTTTTGATTTGACAAAAGTGCCACGAAACTTGTTAAAACCGAAATTCGTGCCCAAAACATAAACAAAATAATAAATTAGCTATAAAAAAAAGGCAAAATTGCATTTTAAGCTCGGTAACTAGGGGGTGTGTGGCAAATGTGGACAACTTCTTTTTGATTTGACAAAAGTGCCATGAAACTTGTTAAAACCCCAAATTCGTGCCCAATTTGGGCACAAATTGCGAATTTTAACAAGTTACTATCATGTTTTGCCACACAAAAAACCCGTCAAAACCGGTAACTTGTAGGTACAAATTTTGGGTTTTAACAAATTTCGGGACACTTATGCCAAACCAAAAAAAAAACTGTCCACATTTGCCACAAACGTTTTGCAAAAAAAAAAAAGGTCAAATTTTC